GATACCTACATCTCAGTTTGAAAATAACTTCTTTTAGGTTAGTCAGACTTTCAAACATTTTCATTATGCAATATTATGTGGAATAATGTGCCAAAACCAGACACAAGAGGGATAGAAATTGCACAAAGAAAGTACATGCTGATCATGACAACACACTGCATTAGAGCTGAGCTTTACAACAAAAAAACATAACTGCCAGATGTGGAAACTGCTTTTCACTTCTAGACTGGGGTACTCTTACAAACTATTATGCACTTTCATACATATGAAATAGTTCTGAAATAGTATTTGTGAACTAGTTCAGGTTCCAGAGGGAGTACAGGCACACTCACATAGCACTACAACTGAGATATAAAACCCTAAAATAAACACCACCACTCCAAAAGTTTAGGACACGCCCAACTAAAAAAATCATCGCTTGATTTACGCAAATTAAGTGGATATGAACTTGTTGCTTGGAACTTTTACAATTCAGATTTGTTTCCTCAAAACAAAGTATTCTTCCCAGTTATTCAGGGTACACACATATTATTGTGCTTAACAAAGACATCACTGAAGATGAAATGTGCATGCTAGGAGATGCATGAACAGGAGATAATGAACCACAAAAAGAGCTTTGCAAACAACAAGAATGTGTATTGCAGTTCTCATGTAACTATTTTAGAGTGTCCTCTATTCTATTAAGCTTTCTGAAAAGACAGACAATTATTAATGCTACAAATATGGAGCAATTGCTTTTGACATGTGCTTCCTTAGCCATGGAAGAAGAATGCAAGAAGAAATCAATGGGAAAAAATTGCTGGGAAGAGTGAAATTGCCTTAGGGGTTTTGTTCTATGTAATACAATGGTCTAGGAATTATATTTATAAGGAAGACATGCTATTTATATCTATTGATTTTTCAGGGACCTCTTGAAGTCTGCAGCCTTAAAATTTCACCTATCCTAGAAGGAAACACATCGTTAGTGAAATCTTGATGTTCTACAGTGGCATTATGCTTACTGAACAGTAAATACAGTGGAAAAGAGGTGAAATAACCCCAAATTTTGTGCTCCCTTCACAGAGCTATAAAACTTCCTTTATCATTGCACATTTAACACAGTAAGGTTGAGCACTCAATTGTGGACTGGAGTTTCACATTAGTGGATATGAATAAAGGGCCACAAAAACATCAATTATGACAGTTTGTTCTTAATACTATTTAAATTGTTATCCAGACCTTAGTATAGTTTAAAGTGGTCTCAGGACCTCCATAAACCTTCAAGAGTCAGGTCTCCTAGCAAAGGATTATCAAGCAACAGAGAATCTCTGGAAAGACATTCTTCTTTTTGCTTACACAGATTATGCTAGAAATGAGTAAACTCAAGTGGAAGAGACTGGAAGAGGCTCTATCTCCACTATCCCCAATCTTCCATATCGCCCCATTCCAAGGGATAGGTCAACTGATATTGTATGCTGCAAAATGTTTATACTGTTGTGGAACAAGGGTTGAGATGCAGTCACACGTTAGTGGGTTATCATCCTATTGAAAGATATTGACAGGAGATGTTTTGCAAGACACATGAGCTGTATGTGCCAAGGCATACTTTTTAAAAAAACAAGTAGTACAATCCTTTTTGAAGCTCCATTCTAAACTGCTTTTAACTCCAAACTTTTCTTTAATATGCAGGAAATAATATGCCAGTATAACATAAAACAAGACAAAAATGTTTTATTCATAGAGCTTTTGTACGCCTTGATTATCACAGCTTTTCCTGTACCCAGGCCAGCTGGTACAATATGTACTGTCTTCTATGGTTTGTTGCTGTTTTCTCGTATTAAATATGTCAAAATTTTATATCTGAGCAATAAAAGTTAGTAACATAGGTCTGATGCATAGTGATGAAGGTAGAACAACAGTGTATAATGGTTATATCTTGGTAAATCAATTAATATATTTATAGATAATGATTAAAAAATATGAAAGATTAGGCAAGAGTGAGGTCAGTCAGTAGTACCAAAACACGGTTTTGTGTGAGGACTATTCATAATCATTAAAAAGATATCTGCACGCTACTTTTCAAGTGAAAATAAATCTCTCTTCTTGTTCTATTTCTTTTCCCGAAAGCCTGAATAGATAGTAGTTCCTGACTGCAGCAGGTACATATGGGGATGCTTAAATTTAAAACTCTTTCCTCACCTTTTTGGTACAGTTCTGTCTAGATATTTACCAGGCTGTTTCTGGGCCCCACACATTGCTGTTCCCAAATTTCCTGAGACAAAGCAAAATCCACTATCTTTAACATTCTCAAAGGACCCTTTAGCAAATTAAGAGCACTCTCTTGGAGACTCACATTTAGCTTTGACTTCAATGGCAATCAATGACTTTGCAAAAAGAGATTCTAGTTCCTCATTTCACATATGGGAGAAAGAAACTAAGGAAGGCAAAATGTCTGTATCCTAGCCTGACTCAGTTACCTGTTCATTTTTGAATGCTCTTTCACACTTGGTTGAAGTACTTACATGTTTGGCACTGCCTCACACAGTTTTTTCTCTGAATAATGGAATATTTCTTTCGCTTCACTCCCTGGTTGCCAGTTTATTCCCTACTTGGTTTCTTCTGCCTCTCCTTTTCTAAAATGGCTGCTGAAAACCCTTTTCATTTACTGTCTTGACTTTCTTTTGAAAACCTATCCTTCCTCCCTTCCTTGATCCATCTCGTCAGTTAATCAAAATCCTCGTCTACTTGACGGTCATTAGCTACCCTTATACTGCAATTCAGACCTGAACAATCAGTTTGTTCTGTGCAGTAGACAACTACTTCTCTACAAGGGCTTTTGGGTGAATAATAGACCGTTGCTATCAGATGTAACTTCTGCTGTTAACAATATGTTATCAGCTTCGAACTTTACCCAAAGACAGAGGTTTAAATACACCAAAAGGGACTCTACATATCTAAAGTATAGTTTAAAGGATGAAGCAGATATTCATAGAGAATCTCCATTCGTTATTTCTTTGCTTGCCAGCTTCAACAGAGAACATGTCTCTAACATAAACTGTACACGTAAGCATTGAAAGGTATCTTTTGCTACCTTTTCTTGGTTGGAAAAAGGGGATGTTATTCATCTTGGGCCTTTCTTTGAGCTTATAAATCACTGTGTACAACCATGAGGGAAGGCAGAGCTCTGAAGTGAGTGTTCCTGGATTCCATATGGAAGAGTGGAAGGCCTCCACACTAAAAGAAGCCAGTTTTTGTCTGGGGTAAAAAACCAACCATAGTTTAATTTTCTGAACAGAAAATACTCGAAGTGACTACAGAAAACAGAGTAGAAATAAATAGCTTTTCTAGCTGTCTTGTCCTTGCAGGTGGATCCTTACCTTCATCCAGTTTTCTCACAGGCAGATGATGTCAGTGCCAGAACCCTCACCACAGGAAACCTTCTGTGACATATCTTCCTTGAGGTTATCATTTGTTAGGGTGCAAAAAAAGATTCAAACACATGTATTTTCACCCTTTTCCTTAATAGATTCTGATGAAGGACCTTAATGTTACTAAAAGTTGGCTTCCAGACCCGTCTCTTGCTTCTCATTTCAGCATCAGTGATTTGTACCCCCTAATGTTCAAGATGTCACATAATTCAAAATAAAGGGTGAGGTTAAACTGCAGGCTGCAGATCTGGTCACTAGCAAGCACAGCACAGAGTCCATAAAAGGAAACAGAGCAGTTGCTAAACCAGGCAATACATCAATCCTTTATGCTATGTACACCTTATTTACAGGGCATTTGCAGATTCAGAATGATGATGAATGAAGCTGCAAAACACAGTTTGATTTTTATCACTTCAAGGCAGAGACCAGAGTAAAAATTACGTGCGATTTTATCCTATTTAGCCAATCCCTAATAGTTAATCCACTGGCATTTCTTTTTGTTTACTCAGTCTTGTTTCTTATTACTTTCCTACCTTCTGCTTTATTTTATAGCCCTATGCCTGCTCAGTGAGTCTAGGGAGTACTCTGTTTTACATGCACCACTGCATGGACAGATAGGAAGTTTTACCAAGGTCGACAGATGCTAACCTTCTCACAGAAGACAAGTTACTCTGACTTCCTAGTTCGGCTAACTATTATTCTTCCATGGTATCAGTTTGGGCAACATCAAAACTGCAATAAAAAGTGCATTTTCCACGGGAAAGACAACAGCAAGAGCATGATAATATTTTATAAATACAGATATTTTCTCTTCTCTCATAGCCTTCATGGAATTCAGTAATAATACCATGGAAAGAGTCACTTAGTACAAGTATCAGTTAGTTACTCTGATTTAACATTTAATATGTTTTTGTATACATATTTCTATTTCTCTCAAAGCTTAATTCTTGTAAATCACCTGTTTTTTGTTTTTTTTTTTTTTTTCTACTGCCAAAAAATCCACTGATCCACATGATATGACCTCTTAGCAAAAACATTTTCAAGTGTCGTCTATTTTTGTTTACCAGAAATCCATCATTAATAGTGCATGCCCCCTGCTTAAAAGTAATTTTTATGAGAAAACAAAAATATTTCTATATTTCTTTTCATCATGTATCCTAACATGCACAAGCAATGTCACTGCGGTATCACAGCCTGGTCATTCTCTCTCTCCTTTTTTAAATGACTTTCAACAAAAGTTGGTGTTAATATAATAACGAATGGTTTGCACAAGATCTTGTTCCCTTTTGCTAGGAGAAGAAAGTCAAAGTGCATTTGGATTGTCATTTACACAGTTCAATTTCTTACTGTAACTACTCAGCAACTTCTTAAAACAAATAATTCTGGAATGAATATAGTCTACATGATGAAGTAATCAATCCTAAGATATGGTGCTATATTTAAATTGTTTATTGAATTACAGTATCCTGCTCTGGTATGAAGGGCAACTCGGAGTCACTGATGGAAAAGGAAGAAAACATTTCCTCCCTTATTCTAACATTGTATAGTATCAGTTGTTTCCCACACTGCTAGTAGGAAAATATATGTTCTTACCCCACAGCCTACTCCGTTGCCTGGTTCACATACAATTTTCCTCACTCCTGGTTCAGGAAGCAAACCTGCTCCACAGCTGGGAGTTGGACACAGCACTCCTCCCATCTGCAGCACGCACTCCTCGGCCCCGTAGCGCTGGTAGCGGTTATACTACAATATAACAGATTGGTGTTAAACTTCTAACAGCACACAAAATACCCCCTTAAACTTTGAGCTTGAATCTATTCTACATACTCAAGTCAACTGTCCTAATGGTTCACATGCTAAATTCAGGTTATTTGTCAAAAGTCTAAAACTTCTCAGTGGCATTAAATGGGGTGTCATTCCACTCCAACACACATCATATGAATCGTTTTCTAATGAGCAGCTATCATTTTCACCACCAGAAAATTGTGTGGGATATTAAAATCAAGAAAACACCAGACTATTTCTGTAAGTAACCTCAAGAACTCTTATATTGCTATAATAAAACTATTGTAAACATCATAAATATAGCCCAACAACAGATACTGACAAATGCTGTATACAGATTGAAAAGAAAGCCACAAAAACCTCAAGGATCTAGAGCTAGAAGTACAGTACAATGTTTTGGAGCTAAAGGGTTGTAAAAATTGCGCAGCCAACTTTATTTCAAAATAAATTTCATGAAACTGATTGGCAAGATAATTCTCTGATAAACTTTTATTTCACTGTCATCTGTAGATTTTTCCAGGGTCTCCCAGGAAATTTTCTTAGTTTTTGCAGTTTTCATCTAGTTCCATCCTGATAGCCTAAAAGGCTATGGAAATGCCTCCATTTTAATGATGAAGACACTGACACACAGCAATATTAAATAACATGCTCAGCGTACCCTTACTGACAAGAATGCCCACTCTAAAATGACTGATGCCATTGCAATAACTTTCCCTGGTCTAACTTACCCTGCTTTCAGCCAGAGATAAACTGAGCAAGTACAAATCATGCTGCATACATGTAAATCACATCCACTCTAGGGTTCTGTGTTGGTGCAGTTCCACACTAGTAGCTATATGATCATTGTAAACCAGGCTTCAGATTCACCTATAAATCTGGTCTACTGTAGAGTGAAATAAATGAAAGCATTTGGTCCTAACAGCCCCAAAGAAAACAGGAAAATCCAAAAGGCCAAAGAGGAAGGCAGTAGTATTAATTTTCTCTGTGAGCAGAATGACTTCATGGTGTGCTAAAGGAATGAAACAGAGATTTATGTTATAGCACTCAAAACAGTATTTAGTGCTTCATAAACTTTTATCCCATAACTGCTCAGGAAAATCCTGTTCCCTTCTCTTTTGGGATAGCAAACAAAAAATTATTTCTCCAATCTGCACCCCTCACCAAAGAAATCCTACAAGGAAAACTGAGTCATTAGGACCAAAACCTCAGACACAAAGCATATGAAGAAGAATTTTAAATTACCAAGACAGGGGCTCCACTGCATATTTTCTGAGCACAATTAAGAAGATTCTCCTGCAAATGTTGCCGTAACATGTCTCATTACACTGGGCTTTTAAAAAATAGTATGTGATGTCTTAAACCAGGCTAATATATAGACACAAAAGTGTTACATCACAGAAAAAAAAAAATTGCCAAACCCTCCTTTGTCAATGAACAAAATAATCCAAACAAACTTCCTCTCAAACGAAAAGCAAAATCTAAAAGTTGAGAAACCTTCAAAATACCACTCAGTGTATGAACAACATCCAGAAATCCTGAATTAAGGATCCTGGATCTGGAAAATGACAGTACGTTGAGAAATGTACAAGACATGTCTGCAAAGTCTCCTTGGAGGTGGAGGCTCAACAAGTGAACTGGTGTTTTTCTATGTTATTATTATGCATTATGGAGTAATGGCATAAATATTTAATGTTGGATTCTATAAATTTTCAGGAAAGTTTGTGATCCTTACACTAAATACACACTAAGTGCTCTGAGTCATTCTGCTGGCCTTGAACAGAAACATGGGTAACCACAGATGCAAAACTCTCCAGTGACCCAGTTTTTCTTTATGGTGGAGACTGGACCTGAATGTGAGGATGGTGATTGTCTTGCTCCGTTAAAAGGGAACATTGTGCTGGATGTGGGATTGTTAGCAGCTTCTCATTACAGAGGCAAACACCAGTAACACTGTAGCTGAAATTCTGTCAGCATTTCCATTATAAATTATCAGCTGAAAAAATAGATATACTTTCCAGCCATTAACTTTGCATAAAAGGGCATGGAGAGATTCCTCCTGTCTTCTCTCTTTTTTTTTTTTTTTTTTTTTTTTTTTTTTTTTTTAACACACAAAAATGGAAAATATGTATGATGGGAATCAAACTGTCTTGTTAGGGAAAGTTACAGAAAGGAAATCTCCAGTCTATGTACTTGCAAGACGGACAAAGCCATCAAATTCTGTCCAACAAATTTGACATTTTATACTGGTTCAGCACAGGATTCATGCCAAATCAGTATAGCCCTCTCATCAGTGATTTTCATACTATAAATGCCAAAAAATGATCAGTCTGAAGACAGGAAAGATTCTACTAAATGTATTTGCACATCTTGACATCTAGTTACCAGCCTTCAAAGTCCAGATACATTTATAAGATGTCATTTTTCAATTTCTTTTTCCTTGTGCCTGTACACTAGCTCATTTAAAACCCAGAAACCAACTGAAACATGTAGTAGCAGAATGTATACACACAGTCATACACAGTATAAATGGTTTTATATTCTTTATTCAGTGTCCTGAAACAAAATGACTCACTTTACATTAAGGGTGCATTTATGAAAGGTTTGTAAAGGACCAAACCACTTATTCATTAATTATTAATTAACTATTTGCATATAATGACAGATTATATCTATTAGAGGCATTTTCTCCTATATACCACAGCCATACATACCACACATGACTGATGCAGTCAACATGCTAAAAGCAAGTCAATTTTCAAAAGTCCTTAAATCTCTTTGGAGCCTAGATTATCTAGATGCGCATTTTAAGGATAGTCCAGCAGACAACCACCACTGGTTTACTTTGGCTCTTATTCTTAACTGGAGATTTAAGTAGGATTCATTTAATTTAGTTTGGATTTCTGCAGTGATGATGCCTCTAGTTGTACTGGTTGCTTAGACTCCTTTTATAATTATCAGGAGAGACAGGATGAAATTCATATTTTATTTGTACGTCAGCATGAGAAGAACTGAGCCCTGGAGTGCCCTGTTCTATTAACAATAAAGAGAGATCAGGCAATTTGCTAGATATTGACACCTGAAATTAGGCGACTCCCAGAATAGCTGCTTCAGTTCTAATAATTCTAAATGACCTGGCCTAAGCTATTTTTGAAACCAAGGTCTAGGTACCTAAATAGCTTAGACTGTATACTGCCTCACACAATTTTAGCTCTTCAAAAATTAAACATCTAACCTAAACAAGTCATATTGACTCCAAATATAATGAATGAGAAGAAACAAGATCCCCAAAAGGGAATTTGTCCTGACTTACATGTGATGTCTAAGATAGGTAGGATAAATCACTCTGTGGAAGTGCTATAGTTGAAGCTGAGAAAACTAACTTAGGCTAGATATCTAACACGTAAAGAGCTGTCATTAAAAGATGAATCTAACTCATGTACAGAAGATACAAAATATTTCAATAATTCAATTGACAATAATTGACAATAATATGTCAATATTTCACAATATCTGTTACTCAATTACCATCAATGTGGTACCTCCTATTTAGAGATGTACTCATCGTGTAAAACAGTCCTTCATTCCACAAGGAGGAAAAACCTCTCCAATAATTTTCAGGAAAAACCTCTTAAAACGTTTAATATATGGGGAACTTGACTGAGCTGGCATTCATGGCACCTGATTTCATTCCCGGCAGTGACACAGCTTTCCTGTGGTTTTCATGTAAGTTACTTAATCTATGCTTCTCATCAGTTCCCTGTTTGTAAAGAGGGAGAATGCTACTTGCTGATTTCACTGTAGTGTTACCAGGCAAAATCCATTAATAGTCATGAGGACATCAAATACTATGGTAATGAGGGCCATAAAATTACACAGAAATCACCAGCCATCTACTGCTGATAGAAGGCAGCTTTCGAGCAAAACATGTCAGGAATTTATATGCTACTGTAATAAGACCCTCAGAAATAAAAAAAAAGTAAATAGTTGTTGAATTCACCATAGAACCATATATCTCAATGCTTATTAAAAAAAACCCAAACCAAACCAAAACAAAACAAAACACCCAACGATAACAAAATGACTTAAACCCCAGATTTACTCCAAATCACTAGTGCTAAAACAGTTAAAGGTATATGAACAAGATGTAAAACATCCTGGTTTATTTTTTCCTCTAAAACTGCAACCTGTTGTGAACTTTTCCCTTAGTTTGTGAATTGTCCCAGTCAACCCAAATCTATACTTTTCATGGAATAAAATTTTGAGTGGAAAAAAATCCCAGATCTACTTATAGATTTCAACAACATCATGCTCTTTCATGTAATCTGTGCTCATAAAGACTTGTTAGGGCCTTTAGGATTTTTTTTTTTTAATTATTATAAATTATGGTATGACATAGACAAGAAGACTAGATAATTGTAACCATTTAATCCCTGCTCCCCACTTTGCAGATTGGGATGGTTTCCCTTGAGTCTTAGAATGTACTGGGTTTTCAAACAATGGAAATTCTACCATTTGATGTTGTAAACCAAGGGTAATATAAATCAAATCATTGGGCTGGCACAGGAATAAAACAGGTTTAACTATGGATTGCAGTCTTTTCAGTTGCATTCAGATTCAGATGGAAAGACAAAACTGAAATGCAGCTGGATGCACAAAACTCTTGCAAGATACACTTTGTGAACAGAGTGATTCCATCCTATGTTACTTAATTTGCAAGTTATGCTTTAATTTTATAGAACCATAGAATGGTTTGGGTTGGAAGGGACTTTAAAAGATCATTTATTTCAACCCCCCTACATTTGTGCTATTTTAATTTTGCTTTTACACTTTGGACACAGTTTTCTTTATTTTCCTTTTTTTCCCTCACACCTAAAAGCATCTGCTCAGTAGTAGCCTCGCAGGGAGCTTTGGGCAAAAGTTTAACAGTAGATGTAAAGCCAAAATTTCTAATCTCTGAA